CCCCTAAGCCCCAAACCCAAACCCCAAACTCTAATCCTTAAAAACCTAAGTAGAGCCTTGGGATTCCTCGCGCAGATCTACTTCGATTTGAAAAATGACTGCCCCGTGCGCAGCGCAGGGACCAGGTCAATTTACTTGAAGTTCAAAAAGACAGCCGTGAACCATGAACCCAACCACCCAAAGCTGGGGAGAAACGGATTGACAGAAGGAGTTATCAAAACATGCTTGGAGCATCCTTAATAGAATTCCCGCCATTTATCCCCGGAGTCCCTTTAAACCCTGAGCCCTAAATCTTAAACCTGGTCTCTAGGGGCCCCTTGTGTTGAGAAATCCCCCGCACATTGCTTTAGGTGCCCGTGCGTCAGCCCGCACTTGCTTCGCTATCTCCTGGCAAGGGCCAGGATTGGGGCCAGGTACTTTTATATTCTTTATTATTGGGTGTTGCTAAATTGAGAACTACAAACCCCTTGCAACAATGGCCCAGTCAGGGTATCGGCTTTAAGGTTTGGGGTTGGGCAGCTCAGGGTATAGCGCTTAAGCCCTAAACCCTGAACGTGGGAGGAGTCGGGATGTACTTACCTTTGGTTGGGTCGGGGTCAGAGATGAGGGCTCATGTAAGTCCAAAAGAATAGTTATGTGCTCTCCATCTCCCTAAACCCTAAACCCTCAATCAGCCCAATTAAGACGGATTCGCGAGGAACATGGGCACGACCATCCCCAGTGTGATGTTGAAGCCTAAAGGCCCGGAAGCTTAACCACTCAGTTGTCAAGACTAGAAATCCTGCATCAGCCTGGTACACCATACTACCATGACTCCCAACTCTAAACCCTAAACCTGGATACTTAGGGTCATGCGGGATATGCAGTATCCAACCAGAATGTCCCTTGGAAACGATTTTGAAATCATTCACAAAGCAGACACTTTTAGATGCTCTAGATGCTCCCCAACCCCCCCCCAAACCTACATAATCATCGCTAGTACAAGGACCTTAAACCCTCAACCCTACCCTTATTCCCTAAAGCCTTACACCTTAACACCTAAACCCTAAATCTTAAATCATAAACCCTAAGCCCTACACCCTACACCCTATACACCCTGACCCCTGGATGTTGTGTGCTGGACTAAACCCTAAACCCTGTGGACCCTCAGGGTTAACAAGGACCAATCTGCCGCCTTCTTCCGGACTTCTTCGGCCTTTTTGGCCTCTTCTTCGGCCTTCTTCCTCCGTTCCTCCGCGCCTTTCGCAAGGACCATGCAGGGATGGCTATAGGGTGAGGGTTCAGGGTTTAGGGTTCAGGGTTCAAGGTTTAGGGTTTAGGGCTTGGAGTCAAGGATGGCTTTTAATTCGTCCATCAGGGGTCCCAAGTACGTTCATAATGATCATAGGGTTCAGGGTTTAGGGTTCATAAACTACGCAGAACCTAATAATGGTTCAATTCAAACCCACATACATTATCCTTGCCTGCGCCATAATCCCAGTCGTAGGAGGGCAGTGGCCTGTACAGGCCCTTGTTGCGGGGTTGCACTTTAGGGACCTAACCTCTGACAAGCATTCGTGACAACCATGAAATTCCAAGCACGGGAGTTAAAGAAACATTGCAGTACGTACTTGCATTCAAAATCATGTTCAGGCTTTGATGGGGATGCCGCAAGTGTGTATAGGATAAGTTGCGCCCTGCTGTAAACCCTGAACCCTAAACCAAAGACCCAGAACCCTAAACCCTAAACGCCAAACCTTGGCTATCGGTTGCGTAGTTCAAGCCGGGCTTACATGGCGTTGCGCTGGGATGAGTGCGGGCTAGGGTTGGGGGTTTACGGTTTAGGGTTCAGGCTTAAGATTTAGCATTCCGGGTTAAGCTATAGGGTTCAGGTTTAGGCTTGAAGGTTTATAGTTTGGGGTTCAGGGCTTAAGGTTAAGAGTTTAGGCTTCAAGGTTTGGGGTTTGGAGATTGTGCGTTAGACTCTCAATCTTGCATCTAATTTCAGTCGGGAGTGCGCAAGGGAATTGGTTGGCCTAACAAACCCACGAAACCTTAAACCCTAAACCGAAACTCTGAACCCTAAGCCCAAATAGCTTCCTATAGACCACTATAGACCCCTGCATTAACCATGGGGGCTCAGCAGTAGCAGACCTGAACAAATGCAAACCCGGGAACCTGACCACACGACACCTCAACACCCCACGACCCCAGAGCATAACCCTAAAGCGTACAGACGCCAGGCCCTATACCTACTGTATAAGCCATGAACTGCCAAATACTGAAGCCCTAGCCCCTCAGCTCGCAGCGTTTGGCCAACGCACCATCCACGGAGTCCAAGAGGGCATCCATTACTTGACGACCTGGGTAGTGTAGCCCTAAGGGTCCAAGCACCCAAATAGTAAGGTTTTAGGCCCCAAGTACCATTGATATTATTGTAGTTGGGGCCTAAAACCTTATTATTTGGTCCTTGGACCCTTAGTGTAGAGGTTCCTCAAGAGGGGGCTGCGTGGGCCGAGGGAGTTAGGGAGGATTACAAGGGATCCTGCTTCTGAATTGTGTAGGGATAGTGTCGAGACACTTAGAGTAGCCCTAGGGATCCAAATAGCCCAATGTAGGTAATATTTACAGACTTTGGGGCCCAATGTAGGGATTATTTGTATACATCGATCCCTAGGGTAGGTTTGAAGGGAGCCAGGATTCTAGGGGTTGTGGCAATCTCAAATCCTTTTTCCCTTAACCGTCGACCTCAGTCGCTATCCCCATAACCCTTTAGCCCACACTTCAGAAACACATCACGAACACAACGCGCCAGAAAACATAGCATTTTTTCTGCGGGATCTAGCCCGTGCTTGCCTTCAGAGGCTTATTCCCCGAAGGGTCCAAGTGCCCAACAACCATCTACTTGTCTGAAACATGTAGTACAATTCCTACTATCCAACTCCCAAGCACCTTGCGATCAACAGAGAAAGCGCTATGTCTGTATAGTTTCTTTTGGGCTGAAGGGTCTTTGGTCCTGCTAATTGCTGATTGAAGAGTATATACGGGCTCCCTAAAACCACCGCCAACCACACACCCAACTCTGAAATATGTTCCTAACTCGTATGTAGGGGAACATGGGTGGCTAGGCAGACTTTCATTCCTTGGAAGGGATCGCCGGGAAAAACACAAGAACTGCTTGGCTGCCTTCCTGCACAAACCCTGGAAGCTTGTCGAAACTTGTTCATGCTTAAGGGAGAGCGGGGAAGTGGATCCCTATAATAATCTCTACACAATCCCCATATATACCCCTATAATGGTATGCATATTCACTCCCCCACTCCCCCGTAAGCAGCAGTAGGAAAAGTGATCCAGAAGGGATCCCAAACCTATGGTAGATACGAAAAATCCTGCATGGCCCTAAGTACCTTATACCTTGGGAATTATGGTACTACAGTATATTAAGGTCATGCATGATTTTTGGTATCAACAACCCTAAACCCTAAACCCTCAACCCTAAACCCTAAACCCTATGACCCCAGATTGGATGCACCACCCTTTTTCCTCCACTTTGCCGCGGCGAGGCAAAGGGCTGTAGCGCAGGGAAGGACCTGTGAGTGCAACGTCTACATCTCCGCAAGGTCTTGTAGGTTTAGGGTTTAGGGTTTAGGGCTTAGGGTTTAGGGTTTTGTAGGTTTAGGGTCTGCAGCTTCTAGGTTCCCCAGTAAACCCTAAATTAGATGGGTACCTTTTTTCTAATGTCCAGGTTTAGTAAGGAGACCATGAAACAAAAAGGGAAAATTGTACTGCTGGGGTACCTAGATTTCGTGTTCAGGCTACGGTTGAAGCTTCAAGAAGGTTGTTGGGCTAAGGTGTCGCAAGTTACGGTCCTTTTTGTCGGAGCCTCACACGGCGCTCCGAGGACTATTTTGGGGCTTTCTGGGGGAAGGTTTGGGCTTTGGGGGCTAGGGTTTAGGGTTTAGGGTTTGGGATCCCATCAAGAGGGTCCAAGAGCCTTTGGTAGGCCCTAAATCTTGCGAGGTGCTCATGCGCGTGCCGCCTGGAAGTAGGTGATCACATATTCCCAATCACGTGCCCGCGCCGAGAGGAATGGCCGGTTTCTTCTCACCTAATAAACCCCATAGTGCTGTTACATCATGAGACGCTGTTACATAATGAGAGGAACAATTCATCATTAGAGGCTGATATCCCCAACATTATTACGGCGTCCCCCGGTTAGAAACGGATAAAGTCAAGCATAACAGTCGCTCCCGGATATGGGTCCGGCCAGCTTTGCTATTGTTGCTTGTTTAAGTTGAGGCTGCTGCAGGTGGAGCCACCACCCTGGGAGGGGGCACCTTTGTGCTAAAGGTAGACGACACCACTTTCTATCGTTTTTTCTTGGGCTGCTTAAAGAGAAGCCTTGAAGATATCAAGCCCGCTAAAAACAAAACACGTATGATGCTGCTTCTGTTCTTCTAGAGGCCAACTCCCTGCGTAGTAGCTTCCTCGGTTGCAGGTGATACGGTGGATACAAAAAACTTGCCTGACCCTACGTGCCATCTACCCACTCGTGGCATGGGCACTGTTCGTATGCGGGGCTTAAGATGTGGAGGTTACTGTAAAGGCTTCTGATTGTGGTTGTTGCTGGCTCCCTCGCTGTGTGCCAGAGCAACTGATATCTCTTCTTGGCCGCAAACACCAACACCGCAAAGCCCTTAACCGAAAAACCTGAATCCCCAACCACAAGCCCTGACCCCAAGAACTAGACTGTATGCCCCCAACCCTAAACCCAAACCGTTAGCCCAGAACCTAAGTTTTCCAGGTGCCACATCATGCAGGAGTCTTCTTCCAAAATCTCCCACAAACGGCAACAAACTCTCAATCGACAAAGATAATTCGAAAGCCATGCTTTCATGAGCTCCCTTGCCTAAACTCTAAACTCAACATAAACCACAAACCCCATACAACCACCCCACCCTAAACCCTAAACCCCTAAACCCTAAAACCCTAAACTCCACCCATCCGCATCCCCTTGTGGCCTGGCCCTTAGTCGATTCCAACTTGATCGTGTGCCACGCGGATTTCGAGTGCCACCCTAACAGACCCGAGGACGTTTAGGGTTTTGGGGTTTCTGTTGATATTACAAACTCCATGACCTTAGTATAGTATAAAGAAAAGACACTTAGGGTCCTGCTGGACATTTCGTATATGTCGTAGCCCTGCAATATGAGCTTCGATCATTACTTTACCAATTTTGGGGGTTTCCGGAATGGGTATAAGTGGGGGATGTACTGTATGAGGTACCAATATCATAGGGCGCCGGGGTTAGGATTAAGGGTTTATCGGCTTAAGGATTTATGTTTAAACTGGAAAATTAATGAAAACTAGCATTACATAGTGGTTTATAGGGTTCCATGGGTTGTAATCCAAGGTCTTTATAGCTTGGGGCGTGAATACGGGGACTGTTACAAGAAGTTCGAAGCACTATACATCGTGTATGTAAAGTCGAAATGAAGTAGAAACCTGAATGAATATCAATATCAGAGTCCTAGATTCCTCGTATGGTTATATCTAGAATACCTGAAAGAGATCTCTAATTGATATTGGTGATTATTTAGACCCCCTTAAAGCACTCCTTAGACAGGTGCCCATCACGGATAATGGCAAGTAGGTCGGGGTCCATGCCTGTTGAGTTTATATCGCGGTTACGGGGTGGGTGCCTCATCCAAGATATATAAAGACCCCCCACACAGACCTCCTAATGCCCACAACAATCGGCCATATACACGTTTTTCTTTCGGTTTCTGGCTACATATGTATATACACATACATATATACACATAACTTCTGTATGAATGCAGGTCTATGAGGCTACATCGGGTTTTGGGTTCCGTTTACAGCTTGGGGTGTTGGGGTGTTGGGGCATGGGGCCGGAGCGCTTATACACGTTTGTGTAAGGAGTTACAAAAAGGGATTTCCTTATTATAGTAATTTAATGAAAGTTCCTTACCAGCAACCCACGTTAGGGTTGAGACGTTAAGCTGCTGGGTGGGCTTCAGATACAATTCACACCCAGATGAATCTGGCATTTACACTGCCGGGCCTGGGGTCAAGGAATATTATCGGCGCGAAGCCCTGAAATCTAAGATTTCGACTCGGCAGATTCCCAAAATGGCGGGACCCCCGATGCAGACCCCAAAACACTCTGACCCTAAACCCTAAACCCTATAAACCACAGGGACCCAAGAAGTTCCCCCCCCCCCCGATTTCCCGATTTTGCGAAATCCCGAGTTTCGGGCTAAGGGCCTCGATTCGATGCCTGGATTGCTATCAAGATTATAATCCCCCTTAAGTTGATAGAATATGGGGTTATATAAGGATAATGGAAAAGAAAGTGGAAACTACTATTTAGGATTTAGGGTTCACAGTCCCCCTTGAGTACATAGAATATCGGGTACTATGGGGATCTTATTAGCATAAACCTAACGCCATATTCCATCTACTTAAGGGGACTATAGAGACACCGCGCTGCTCGGGTGCTGAAACTGATGGACATTTCCAGCGATCTCTTATGAAATATCACGGGCGAATCAAATCTCTAAGTTTGACAAGTAACACGAAGGTTCCTTGTACTTTTTGATATGATCTATTCCGCATTCGTAACAGTACATACCTGAAAAATGATGAAAACCGAGAGAACCCGAAACTTTTGCACTTGACCTGAAATCTGATGAAAACCGTAAGAACGCCACACCTTGGCAAGTGCTTGCAACCATTACAGAATGATGGGACGTTTCTTGCCAGTGCATCGTTTTGAAAGACAATACGGGCATTGTTAAGAAGAGACCTTCTCCTATATTCTCAAGAACAAGACCCTTAAGTCTAAACCCTAAGCCCTATACCCTAAACCCTAAACCCAGGCGTTCTTAAAGAGAAGAGTCCTGGAACCGTGCACGAACCCAACTCCTCCTGCCTCCCTCTCCCATGGCAGTAAAGCAAACTCCGTTCTCGCTGCGCTGCCGGGCTCCTCGCTGGGTTTAGGGTTTAGGGCTCAGGCTTTAGGGTTTAGGCTTTATAGGGTTTAGGGCCTTAGGGGACGGAACTGTTCAAAAAAAAACGGGTGTGGGGTTTAGGGCTTAGGTCGTATGATTGAAGGTGAAGACTAGAGGAGCTCGAAGGAGCTACCTGAAACCTTATCTGGAATTACTTGCCTGGCTCTGTGTTCCGAGTTTTGGGCCATCATTTTGTCCTACTTTTGGTGTTCAAGTACCCTTAAAAATGCTAAAAACCCCACAAAACCCTAAACCTAAAGCACGACATCCTGTACTCCCACACCCCACCGCATTGTTCAAGCTTAACACCCTCCATGTACCCAAACAAAGGTCCCTTCTAGGGACATCTACGGAAATATAGGAATATGAAGGGGTGTAGGGGGATTTGAAAAGGCTGGAAATAGGGTGACAGGATACTGTAACATGAACGGCTTTGGCAGCTGAAGCTTTAATCTTTGGGCACTTCGACCCCTAGGGCAAGAGAATGTCTGAGGCTTTCCGGTAGTCAGGGTGTAGGCCCAAAACCCTCACTCCTAAACCGTCCGGCCATTAATCCACATAGTTGTTGGGGGGGTCATAGCTACTAGAATGCTTCCAGAATACAAATGGGCGGGGGGGGGGCGCCTTCTTGGGGTTCCTATAAAAGGACGGTGATATTTTTGGCTCTATGTAGGCGTTCCCCTCTTGTTGGAAACTATCATAGAACCCCTCTATAACACTATATGCAGCAGCTGCCCACTTTACTGTCCACGTGATTTTCCATTATTACCTTATATACGACCCTCATCCCTAAACCCAAAACCCCAAACCCCAACCCTAGCCCAAGCCCCAAACCCGAAATCCCTGAACCCAAAGCCCCAAATCCAAAACTCCAACCGAAAACCCTAAACCCAAACCCGAAGCCCCACACCCTAAACCCCAACCCTGAACCCAAACCTAAACTCCCCAACGTTCTTGCAAGGTCAGACACATTACTTAGCTGTCAGATGATCTAGAGTCTAAACTCGCAGTATCACCCTTAACAAACCCTATCGTACTCCCCTATATAGTCCCCTACAAGGAGTTTAGACCCGAAAGCCTAAACAAAACCCCAATATATCCTATATAACCACTTTTTAACAAGGAGTTTAGACGAAAGCTCAGATAAGCCAGCCCTCTGGGTGCATCGCGAAGTTTTGAGGTTTAGGGTGAGGCAAGGTTTAGGGTTTACACGGATAGTCGGACTCAATCATTTCAAGTGTTTGCCTGAACCCGTAACTCTAAAGCCCTGAAGCCCTAAAGCCCTAAAAGCCCTAAATCCTAATCTAAATGCCGTAGGGCTGCGAAGCCGTCCTCCGGTCGCAACAGCATGAGAACCCCCAGTGTGTGGTGAGTGATGTCGAACCTGCAGGTCTAACGTTCAGGGTTCACCAGTAATCCCGAAGTCATCGGGTCAAGGGCTCAAGGGTTCAGGGCTTAGTAGTCTCATCTCTAAGTTTACTACTGGTTGGTATAACTTGCAAAAACTGCAGGCAGTTGTGGTTGCATGTAAGGTTTATGGCCGCCCGCAGAACTACAGCATGTAGAACCTAGCAGCCTGACTCTAAGACTGCAATCCATACAGACCTAGGATTAGGGTTTAGAATCCGCTGTGCCAGGAGCCCTTCAACCCTGAACATTGAAGGCTGCCAGGATTTTGTTCTCATGAAGTGGTCATGGAGCTCATCTTAAGCTATAGGTTGTCCCAGGAGACTGCTTTAGGGCCTTTCGGGTGTGGGGTCAAAACCCTAAGCCATGAACCCTAAACCCTAAACCCTGAATCCTAAACCCTAAACCCCAAATCAGGGTTACGGAGTCAAGTCTTCTGACTTCAGATCTTTGGTGGAGGTTTGGGCTTAGGCAGATATTTGAACCCTGCCCATGCTTAAAGAACCCAAGTCCTTTAGGGTTTAGGGTCTTGGATGTGGGGCCATGGGATCTGCACAAGAAGCCTGAAGGAAGCAAACCCTAGATACATGAGATCTTTCCTGAATACATGTTCCCCAACAGGAAGACGACCTGTGCAGAGAAGAAACCGAAGATACAGGTAGTGGCGGTGGGGCTGTCCCAAAAACGAGGCATACCTTTTTGTGGGTACCTAGAATAAACATTATAGTGCGTAAATTGGGGCCGTCTTGGGATCCCTATTAATGGAAACTACCACATGGATCCGTGCTGTACCACCAACCTTCCCCAAGTATAGCTCTGAATTCCTTGTCGGGTTTTCATGCGATAAGAATAAGAAGTTGAAATACTCCCCTCCCCCGAGAACGACCCAGATTAAATGCCCATAAACCCTAAACCCTAACCCCCAAGGCCTTAGGAACACCTACTCCGTCATTGGCGCCTGCGCTCCGCGGCAACTCGCCATCCGTCACCCTGGCCACGTCCAGCTTAACCCCTTCATACGTTGAGGGTTCAGTTTAGGGTTGACGGCTCAGGTTTAGGATTCTATCCCACCCTGACATTCAATATTCCCCAAAATGATGTAACATGCCACAACAGGAATGTTTCATATTAGAGGCGGCGGGGTGTTTTTATTTTTGCATGGTGGGAATACATGAGCAGTTCTCCAGCCAAAAGGCAAGCTATGGGGTGATCTTGTGATAGGGGATCTTAAGGGATTAGGGTTTAGGGATACAGGGGGGCACTCCTATAGGACCCTTGAAGAGAGTTCTAGGGATACATTTGTATATGTATGTACAAAGTGTTATCAGACTTTTGACCACGTTTTGGATATCTTAAGAAATACTAACTGAGAGTTAACAACACGGCGCCGAATGCGGACTATGATCTTAAACCCGAAGCCCTTAGTATGGAAAAAGGCTATCATCCCAGTACAATACTCATGTAATTCCCGCCGGGGTGAATGCCACAAGGTTTAGGGTTTAGGGGTTTAGGGGTTTAGGGGTGTAAGGTATAGGGTGTAGGGTTTTGGGGGTGTAGGGTTTACAGACATCCGAGGTTACCTGCAACACATTTTACTTCCACTTGTTTTAGGGGTGTACTTGATTACCATCTCTGGCATGCGAGATGGAGCAGAGCCGAATTGTTTTTAAGGTTGAAACCATGGGCCCTGGTATGGGCCGTTAACCCTGGGACCCTTCTTTACCTACTATATACCTATATGTACCCTTACAGGCCCCTAGAATCCCCTAAAAGGCCTAAGGGCCCATAAGCGCCCATACGTCTGACCTGAGATTTTTAGGGCTTATATGAGCTATAGTCTAATCTCCTAGTATCTCCCTTAATATCCCCTATGGTAATCCCTATATAACCCCCTGAAGGAGTTTAGACTATAGCTCATATGCATAGGGTGTAGGGTTTAGGGTGTAGGATTTGGGAATCAGGATCTGGGGGTTTAGGGGTGTAGGGTGTAGGGGTTAGGCTGGCGTTCAGGGTAGTGGGCGAAAGAAGAAGGCAAAAACGATGCAGCTGTTCCTTGCAATTTTGGTTTACGCATATTCTGTTCGTGGCTCTTCTTGGAAGATCCAAAAGGGCGGGGCATAGAATCTTTGCACCCCTTCTACCCTAAATCCTAAACCTTAAATCCTGAACCCTAAACCCCGAACTCCTAAATATCCCTTCTCCCACCGGCTCGCCTGACGCAACAGCTCCCGCATGACTTTGGCAGCCTCTACGTTCAGCAGCAGCACCGCAGAACCATCTGGCCTGTACCAGGGCCCTCCTTGTGGTGGGCATTTAGTTCAGGGTTTTTTGGGGGTTTAGGGTTTGGGGTTCAGGGTTTAGGTTTGCAGATTTGTTCCTCTTACTGTTGCCATTCTACGCACGAATGTTCCCGCTACGTAAGCCTCACAATGACCCAAAGGTTGTAGGTACCTAGCTAACAATAATCAACTTTTCCCCCAATGCCTACAATTGCTAGTACCAAAGCCTCAAATACTAAACTAGAGTACTAGGACTTTCTGGGTAAGGACATTTCTGAAGCATGTACGCTGGACGCCAATGTTAGAAGCCCCCAACACATGCTGTCAACAGTACTGCCTTTGCTAACACCATGCTCACCTTCTATTGCGCCCGCTGTTTCTGCACTCAAACCCACCAAGACCCAGCAACCAAACCCTAAACCTTAGCCCACCATTTTGGGATTAGGGTTGGGGTGGATAAGGCTTTGGCTTTCGAGTATGGGCATCATTTCTTGAAAGGGATCCTTGATAAGATACCCACAGACAGGAAGACATGGACCTAGAAACAAGGCAAGGGTATAAGCCTCTAAGTGGATCATAGCTGCCACTGCGTAGCCGAGATCTTGCACATCACGTCCTAAACCCTATGGTGAGAACTAGACCTCCAAGACCTTGCAGAAAAAAAACACATGAGACCTTAGAACCGTAAACGCTTAAGCGCCCTATATTCTTGCCCGTAAATCCATCCGCGTCAGCGCCTCATCACACGAAACAGTTCACGAAGCAGCGACAAGTAGAAGCCTGATCCATATCTTGTTCAAAACTCCGCTTCGCTACAAGGAAATTGCATGCCCAGCAAAGGTTGGGGGATGTTGAGAGTTTGCAGCACACACAAGGCCCCTCCTTGTACCCTTAAATATAGCGGTATATGGTTCCCAATAGTGGGTATTCATATAACAGAGGGTAGAGGGCGGGCGTAATCAGGTCGCGAGGGCATGGTATTTCGGATTTAGGGCTTTAGAAATTTTAGGGTTTCGGATCTTAGGCTTTAGGGTTGGGGTTTCTGTCAGGGACGGTTTGTGAAAGTGGGACCCAGTGTCCGGGATCCAAGGTTCCGGGTGAAGTCCGACAGCTTCTGGACAGCTTCTGAATTCAGTTTAGAGTGAGGTGTCAAGGTGTGTAAACCCTAAACCCCTCAACCCCTAACCCCCAAACTCTAAACCACGCAGTTTGGGCACTTCTGTAACTTCTAAATTAGCATCTACCTTAGGAGGAACCCCCACCCTGTAATAGTAGTATAATTTCAATATAAGAGGACCCTAATATAATCCCTACTATCCCTTATACGCACTATTACTGGGTGGGGGGTCCACCTAACATCTACCAGCTTGAAACATTGCCAGGCCCTCTCTCTACCTGCAGATTAGCAAAGTATACCAGGCTGGAAATTCAGACCTCCTTGGGGGGTTAGTGCCGAATCAGGGAATATGCTGTACTGTATGGCTTAGGAGTTTAGGGCTTAGGTAATTCAGACTTACTCGGGGGTTAGGAAGGAATTAAGGCATGTACTATCTGGTCTAGAGGTCTAGGGTTGAGGGTTTAGGTAATTCAGAGGTTGAGACTACCAACGTGAAAGCTCTGAAGATAGCTCCAGCACGGCCTGTCAGGGCTTACAGCTTGGTAGCTGCTTTGCAAAGCAACTCTGGCCGTAAGGCGCGTATTGCATACTTAGCGCCTCAAGTCTCAACGCATTGGCTGAGGCTAGGATGGCTCACGTTACGGTGTTGTGCTTGGATATAGTAACACCAAGTATATCCAACATTGACAGAGTGAAGGAGTCTGCATCATCGTGCAAGGAATCTTGTCTACGAGTTCCTGGGGCCCAAATTGTTCGATTCCCCATATGCATTCACCAATGTTCCGAAGAAACCCTGCATACAGTCACCTAAACCATCGAAAACATCCTGCCCCTGTACATGCTTGCAAGGTTGCTGATTCACAAATCAGACATGCACAGGCGCTTTAGATGCTTCCGATATCAGGGCACTTGCCCCATAGATGTTGCAAAACATCACCCTAAACCCTGAACCCTAGACCCTCGTCAGAACCCTAACCCTGTAAACTCTCAACCCTGAAAGACTAAACCCTAAACCTTAGAACCCTGAACCTTGAAGCTTGAAACCCTACAGCCCCACTTAAGTAGATAGAATATGGGGTATATGGGGATCTTATGACAGTATACCCGAAGCGATATTGTATCTACTTAAGGGGGACTTTAATCCCAAACCCTAGACCCACAGACCCTGAAATCCAATCCCTGCACCCTGACCCTTAAATCCTGCACTTGGTATCCATTAAACAAGGGGACCCCTGAAAAGCAACCCCTTATTTTGGGAACCCCCCATATCATCCCTAGACACTAGACCATAAAACCCAAAACCCTATCTTCTCTGGATAACCCTTTCTAACCCCTTTCGATCCTTTAAACCCTAAACCCTAAGCCCTAAACCCTAAGCCTTAAACCCTAAACCCTAAACCCTAAAACGTTCTAACTTTGTTGCAGGAGAAGCACTTCGAAGGCCCCCAGAAGCTTCGTACTGCCTCCCAGCTTACTTGAGTAGTGTTTTTTTGGTGGCTGAACCTAGTAAGATAAGATTCCTTATATAAAAAACTATACCGCAAAAGGAGGGTAGAATCTTACTCTATATTGGGTACCATAGTATCCCCTATAAAACACTACTCACTTGCTTTCAGGTACCATGGGCCCAACACAAAGCGTCGGGTGTAGGGTTTGGGGTTTAGGGTTTAAGGTACATGTAAGCATATGAGCTATATTCTAAACTCCTAGTATCTCCCTCAAAAAGCCCTGTAGTACTCCCCTTTCGAATCCCCTATATAACCTTCTTTAATCAGAATTTAGACTATAGCTCATATACTCTAGGAGGCCCCCACCCTGGCCTAGGTCTGCATTGCTTGTTTCCACCGCCTACTCTTTCATCTTGCAAAGATTTCGTTAAACTACGTTAAAAAAGGCGTTTCCAGGAGTTGAAGCGCAAATATATATATATATATGTATATGCATATATATATATATGTATATATATATATGTATATATATATAGGTATATATATATATACCACAATATAACTTCCCAAAAGGGGACCCTATTTGTTGGAAACCCCCCATGAGGACGGATTTCTGCCAAGTCCCAGATCTCTATATCTCCGTAGCTGGAGCTACCAGTCTATATAGGACCCCCTATTAAAGCCGCTGGAAGCAAAACACCAGATATTCCAGGGACCTACCCAGACTTCTACCAGAGCAAGAAACGCCTGATGCGAGGTGGTGCAACCTGTTCAACGGCTCTCCAACCGAAGCTTGCAGTGTCCCTGAAGTAGATAGAATATGGGGTATACAGGGATCTTGTTTATATACCCCAAGCCATATTCTATCTACTGAAGCGGGACTATATGCTAGAACTGCTATTACCCCAAAATTCCACACACACCCAAGTATTGAGCCGTACTCTTAGAGTACTGCGATTTGTCCTCCCGGGCTCTGAGTGGAATGGGTGTTAGGGCTTATAGTCCCGCTTAAGTAGATAGAATATGGGATTTATGGGGATCTTACTGTATAATATACCCAAAGCCATATTCTATCTACTCAACGGGGCCTATGGAGGTTCTCTTACGACCCCTGAGCCACCAGCGGCAGTATGCAGGATCTGCCAAGACCGAAGGAAGCTCCACGCAGTTCAAAAGTCTTGTTGTTTCGTCAAAGTCCAGAAAAGCAAAACCCTGTACCCCATCAAGGGAGTGCGACAGAAAATGCAGACCAAAGCCACTGTTCTCTAAGTATTGCTGCAACCCTTAAACAACCCAAGCCCAGAAACTCTAAAGCCCAAACCTTTTTCAGGCTGAAGACCCCACAGCCCCCCGAACCCTTATACACAACAACCGAAGCTTTAGACGTTTAGGGTAGTGGGTTTGGGGGGCTTAGAGTCATTGCTTTGAGGCATAGGGTCTCGATCCACGAGCACGACCAATCTGGCGGCTGCTGGACACCAAAGATTGAATTCTCATCGAATTCGTGCCCTATACCTTGAGGAACCCAAAGAGATAACTGGCTTTCAGCTGGTGTCCCTATATTGTTCAAGACCGGAGAGCATAAAGCCTCCAACCATCTGAGCGCGTGGCCTATCCCAAGGTGGTGCAGTCATCACCCTGAAGTTCATGTTTCTCAAGAAAGGCGTAAAAAGCCCAGAGATACATAGAGATCAGAAGGGGCTAAAGCCAGAGTCTGAAATTAAGTATACGAATATGTGTATATATATATATACATATATATATGTAAGTAAGTAAGTAAGTATGTATGTATGTATGTAGGTAGGTATGTATCTATCTATCTACATGAATCTACATGAGCTACGGTCAGTGTAACCCAGATAGTTTGTGGACACGGGTTCCTTATTAGGGACTATATTTCTATGGACTATACGCAACTGCAAGAGTAACCCCTATATTCACTGCTAAGGACCGGGAATAAGGAGATACATAGAGCGCCCAAAGGCCCAAAGCCAACCACTATAACAGCAGCCACATGGTCATAAGCCATGTTTGTGACGACCTAAGTCTTCAGGCATCATGTTCCTAAGCCCTTAACCCTGAACCCTAAACCTTAAACCCTTTACCCTAAAATCTAAACCCTAAAATCTGTTCCTTAACAGCAATCCAGATGAGGACCCTTCAACATTTGGAAAATCGAGGCTATAGACTAGACTCCTAGTATCCCCCTGTAATGAACCCTACCAGTATCATAGTCCCCTGTGTATTCCCTTTTTCTTAACCGCCCTTTACCCTTTAAGCAATATAGGCTCTAGCTCGTATAAGCCGACTAACCTCGGTGAGGTAAACAGTTTAGAACTTGTAAGGTTTAGGGTTTACTTGTCGCCTTAAATCGGCAATCCTTTACTCTAAACCGCGAACCCCGCAGCCCTAAACCCCAAGACCCCAAAGCCCAGCACCCCAGACCCCCGTAATCCCTAAACTCGAAACGCTAAACCCTAAACTCTAAAGCTTGTGGTTTGATCCAAACCATCCCGAGCTTTGTGGCTCCAAGCATTTCATGATACAGGGGTTTAGGGTTGGGAGTTTAGGGTTCAAGGTGTAGGGTTTCCCCTCCGCGCCTCTAATGATGACACCATTATATGCAGGAGACTGCTTGTTGTAAGTGGGGCCGGAGGGGTTATCATAAGGAGAGGGGACTACATGAAGGTGCTTTTAGGCAATGGGTCAAATGTGGAATCGTACATGCCCCTGCTGTTCATGAGTAAGAACCTGCATGACCTAAACACTAAACCCTAAAGCCTTAAATGATCTGAACCCGGAGACTTCTGGTAGTATATGGCAGTGGTATACCCTAGGGCTCTACACTTCTGTGAAGAATATCTGCATTGGGCCCTATAGTCAGAACCTAATGCCCCTACAGCCTAAATCCTATTTGGAGCCTATGGGCCGCCTGGACCTCAAATATAGGATTCCGACCCAAAAACCACCTAAAGTGATGGACAAAGGCGATTGTCAAACAGAATCTTCAGGTAGAGTTCTGCCGGATGTTGTTCATCAACTGCCTTGTTGAGAAGCCGCGCCTTTGACTTCAAAATGTCCAACTTAGCATGAGTAGACACATGGGGCTTGAGGGTAGCCAAGCCCCGGCGGAACCCTCACCAGAATTAGGAACCTAAACCCTAAACTCTTAACCCTTAATCCTAAACCCTAGACCCTAGAGCCTTCAACCAGTAAATCCTAAAACCCCTAAGGCGGAGCCCTAAAGCCCTAAACCTTAAAACCCTGGCTTAGAGGAGGACCAAGGCCTGGCCCTAAACCCTACACCCCAAACCCTAAACCCTGATGCCGAAGCCCTCAACCCTAAACCCTAAACCCTGAACCCTAAACCATAAACCCTAAAGCCTGAACCCT